ACGCAGGCTGTCCCGCGAAGAGGAGCCTGAGCTGCAGTTGATGGTCTCGTTGGAGTTGGTGGGGCTGTTTAGGCTGTCGTTGTCGCCATCTGAGTTGTCCGGCAGAGGAGGGGGAGGCAGGCGGCCTGGGGCCTGAGGGGGCGGGATGGGCAAAGGTGGGGGGGGCTGGCTTTGCTCGGGATGATAGTGGCGGTGCGGGTGTGGGGAGCGGGCAGGCCCGCCAGGATGCTTGAGGGTACCATGGGGGCTGCAGCCATCTTGCTCGTACATGAGCCCCCGGTTGACTGAACCCCGATCGGAACGGTCGCTCAGATCCACTGAGCTGTCACTGGGAGGCTCGATTGTGAGCAAGGGCAGGTGAGCGCCCCGAAGGCGGTAGTCCCGGCACTCCATGCAAGGTGTGCTGCGCCGGCTCCCGCCCCCGTTCTCCCGGCTGTCCTCCCGCTGGGGCGCCCCCCAGTACTCTGGCCGTGGGGGGGGTGGGAGGGGTACTCCCGGAGTAGGCTCTGGGGGCTCAGTGCTGGGGGGGCGCTCCAGAGAGAGGGGTGATGTGGGAGCGCCTTCGTCCAGATAGAGCGTGACATCGCTGAACGAAGTGGCAGCACTGTCGCCTTGCTGCTCCTTGGATTCACTTTTCTCCAAAGCGGGGCCACTGGGCCCTCCCTCCTGGCCAAGCGGGTGGCAGTTTAAGGCTTCATCGATCGATTCTGCCAAGGACTTCACCTGTGGAGAGGCAGAGAAGGAAGTCAGCCGGGCAGATTCTCTTTGGGGCTGTAACGGTATGGGGAAACGACCTGGGAGACAGGAGGAAGAGCCGCAGACTAGGCAACGGACTAGACCTAGGAGGCAGCTGAGCCCGCAGAAGGAATGGGGACGTGGCAAACGTCTCAGAAGGGACCCTCCCTAGTTTCTTGGACTGTAAAGGTGAGGGGGGAGAGGTGTACTTTCAGACTTGCAAGTTCCTGTTCATGTAACTTTACAATAAAGTTAGAGCTAGTATTTCTGGGTGTGCTTCTATTTGGACTACCTTGCAAGGCTGACAAGGGCTAAGCACACGTTGTGAGAAAGAAGGGTGAAAAAAATAACCCTCTCCTAATTAAATCAACCCTATACCTTATATTAATTAATGAGCTCCCATTTGAATAATCTTTTATGAAACATACAGCAACAGTGAGAAGACAAGTAAGTTACCAAATCAGAATGCAAAACTGTTATAGTATCAAACTCATTATAGTATCAATGTACCAAAATGAAATGTATGAACAAAAGTAATTCAAAACATGATTTATAGGCAAGCTACAGTTAATGGCTTCATTCACGCTAAGCATCTTAAGTGCTGCTGAGAAATTGTTTTTCTTCCATTAACTGGAAAAAAATCAAAATCGGATGCCGCACAAGTTTTTCATATAACCCTGTTCTACTCGCAAGGCCTTCTTATAACATCTTCTTTAGTGCTATTCGGGGGGGAAAAAGTCATCGGTAGTTGAATCTCTACTTGTGCTGTTGCTTTCAGTGAGTAAGATTGGGACACAGAATGGCAACTCCAGAGAAAGGAGCTAACGTGAAGTTAAGTTTCATTGCTATCGGCTGCAAGGTTCAGCATAATAAGATGAAGTGGGAATGGAAGTATTTTCCATTCAGATACCCAACATTCAAAAACACAGAAGATGTCCATGAATTTACCTGTTACCTTACTTATTTGGTACATAGTATTTCAGGCCTGAGAACAGCCTATAACCTGTGGTGAGTAGATACTGCCTCCAGATCAGTAGGTACCGTAAAGTAGTTTTTATAAAGTGCATGAGAAGTTATTTTGAGGGAGGAGTGCCAGGCTCCGTTATCATCTCTCTGGCGCCTCGTCAGAAAAGACATCAGTCTTGCTACTCGTTTTCCAAGGCTAAAAATCAATACTTTTTAAATGGAGGCTCAGGAGGCTGTTTTCTGTGCCAAGGAATACTAGCTGAGGCTACTCTACCTGGGCCGCAAAACGCAGACAACCCCTGGACATAACTCTTCCTTGTTATTTAGTGGTCATCTGGGTTTTTGCAACCCAAACATGGTAGCCCCGGTACATAGAAAGCCCTGGGTGTACCTAACCCTGGGCAGAGCACGGAGAGGTTCTGACTTAAGGTGAAACAGCAGAAACAAACCCAAAGGGTAATGAAAGGAACTCAGACTATTAACCGTTCTGTAAACATAGTTTTAATAACACTAAAGTATGTTAATTGTTTAATGCTGAACTTGGTTGGTTGGCTACCCCTGTGGCTTTGCCCTCCGCAACAGAAATGCAGCGTTAATTCTCCGTGCAGCATCTACTGTACACGAATTAGTTGCGGTTCTTAGGAGGAGTCAGTAAGACAGGCGTTCAGAGCAGAGGTGAGATCCCAATGAGGGATTTGCTAAGTCATGACCCAGTTTTCATAGCTTGTCTCTGTATATACAAAGCAATTATTACTGCTGCCAATAACATGGAGAAACTTAAGAATTATGATTGTAACATATTTAAAACCAACAAATCAAAGAGCCTTGGTATTATGCTCATTAGTTTTCCAACTTTTGAACATTCTTTTTTGCTTTTCCTGAAAGAGGCTTACAAAGTAAAAAGCACTGCAACTGAAAAATGAAATAATATCAAGGCAAAAATCGAAAATGCCTCATCTTACAATGCAATCCTAAATGGGATTATCTTTTCCAAAACGTTGGCTCATCCTGATTAGGGGCAGAAGATTTGTGAGGACGCAAGCTTCCCTTTCTTGGCCCATGGCGTTATGAGCAAATGAACTCTTGCTGCTTTGCCTGGGGGGAAAAAGATGTGGGTGAAGTGGAGCTACTCCTGCAGACGCAATGAAAAGATTGGCTTCTGCCAGCTTCAACTGTGCCTTAGCCTACTTTGAAGTGGAAACCTGGGCTCTGATGAAGTAGAGCCAGTTTTGCTCTCCTCTGCCATTCTTCTGTGAAGCAGAGGCTAGATGCAGGATAGAGAAATGGATTTGCTCAGGCCAGAAATTAGACCCACGGGCTGGAAGTCCCCATCCACGCACTGGCTTAGCCCATGGGCAGCAGAAGATACTCTGATAGCAGAGAAAGCGAAGAGGTATTGGGAAGGACTGAAGAAACATCAGAGGTTATAACCAACCTGGAGGAGACAGAAAGTTCTCATTTGGGCAGAGGTGATTTCTTTCAGAGTTTCAAGGAAAACCACATGGAAATGTGCAGGTTGGGCCTTACCTGCTTGGAGAAGGAATCCTCAAGCTCTGTGATGTCATTGCAGAAGCCTCCAGAAGAGGAATGCAGTGAGCCACCATCCAAGCCAGCCCGGCAAGAGCCACCATAGGGAAGGCCATGATCCAGCAGATGAGGTCGAGCACTAGCCATGGACCCCTCATCCAGCGAGGCAGGTTTGCCTTCAAAGTAAGGGGCATTCTGGGTCTTATCATACTCCTCAAATGAATATTGCATCCGCATATTGGACAGGATGATGCGCCGTGACATACGGCTCTCTGATGCTGAGCTTCTTAGACGCTCGAACTTTTTGTTCATGCGGTACTGGCGAAAGGCTGTTTGAATTGTTCGGGCTGCCCGCCGGCTCAGGAAATAGCCCCCATACTTCCGCTCCAGCATCTCCACCTACAGTGGGCATCAGTAGGGAGGAGGGATGTGGAAAACAGAGGAGGGAGATAAGGAAGGAGAACGGGAAAATCAGGAATGTGAAGCTTAGAACAAGCCAAACAGCCAAAGAAGCAGTGGGGTTTGAGCAAGATGTCACACTGGGTCTTCTCAGAGCAAAAGGAATCACAGCATATTGTCATTTCCCTCCAAAGAAATGTAAGAAGCCACCTCAAACTGAATCAGCCTATCAGTATAGGGATTCTAGTGCGGCATATGCTGGCTCTTGAGTATTAACCCTTCAGAGCCTCAGGCACAGAGGGGCCTTTCCCGTCACTTGCTGTTCAAGTCCTTTAACTGGAGGTGCTGGGGACTGATCTAGAGACCCTCCACGGGCAAAGCATATGCTCTAGTATTAAGCACTCTCCCTAAGGGTTTCTCCCTTTTCCTGGCCCTTCCAACGTATGGATAGCCAAGTCTCTCTCCATCTTTTAAAGGGCTTGTGTGAGACAAAGTTTTCCTATTTCATAGAGGGTTCCCAGTTTGTAGACTGACCCAATCTACAAAACCCTCTACTGCAGCCTTCAGAGGAGCCAGGTCCGTAACTCCCAGAATGCTCAGCTGGCTCGCTGGACTTCAAGCGAGCCACAGAATCTTATTCCTGCACGTCAGGAATCGCGGAAGCAAGGGGAAGGAACTCTTATAGCCCAGCGCAATCTAAGACCAGATACCTTTTTGTCCTGAAGATCCGTTGAGAGCTCATAGCTGTCTGACAGCGCCTTGGATCGTTTGCTATCCTCCTCTTCCTGCTTCCTCAGCGCCACGCTGGCTGGCTGTAGCCGAGCTCGCTGGGCCCACGGAAGACCTGGTGATGGAGTGTGACAGACAGAGGAGGAGGAAGATGGCACTAAATCGTAGTGCTCAACCTTGGTCACCTCAGGGACACACCGGTACGGCTGGCTGCCCAGGCTGTCCACTATAGTACCTCCTTCACTTCCCGGAGGGTCTCCTTCCACACTGCAAGAAAGAGAAAAAGAGGCTAAATAAACGTGGATGAACAAAAATTTAAAAAGAAAAAATCCAGGTGACTCAGAATGTACAAACACCATTTTGAGCTCACAACACTCCCCAAAATGCTTGAAACTACCTATTTTGCATTTGCAAGCAGTCACTTTCTGCTCAGAATGGGCTGTTTCATGGAACATTTTGCACTCCCTTAGCAGTGACCCACCAACACTTTATATCATTTATTGTGCTCTTATCTCATATTACAGACTGGCTAATTCAGCCATGGAGAGTTACAATTAATATGTTGCCCAAACTCTTTCATTGAATAAATCTCCTGGTTCTCCCCACCCGCCCCCCCCAAATTTAAAAACAGCTGTATCCACTGCCACTAGTATCTGAGTACAGGTAGTCCTCACTTACCGACTGCCTTGTTCGAAGTTACAATGGCACTGAAAAAGTAGGTTTATGACTGGCCCTCAAACTTGTGGCTGTTGCAGCATCCCCACTGTCGTGTGATCTTGGTTTGGGCACTTTGCAATCAGCACGCATTTACAATGGTTGCAGTGTCCTGCGGTCACACGATCACCATTTGCGACCTTCACAGCTGGCTTTCAACAAGCAAAGTCAATGGGGAAGCCAGCAGGAAGTTGCAAGTCGCGGCCACGTGATGTGCTTAATGACCTGCAGTGATTCACTTAACGACCACAGCAGAACTAACATTGTACGTCCAGCACAGTCATATATGATGTTTCACTTAACAAACACATCATTTAGTGACGGATTTGCCAGTCCCAGTTGTGGTAAGTGCGGATTACCTGTAATCACAATAATTCTGGTTTAACTTTTTCCCAGCAACATTCCATTATCATTCTCCTGATCTAAGAAATAGACCCCAAAGCTTCTATTAGCCCCATTTGGATATTACGTATTTCCTGAATGTAGAACATAAGTTGGGGGTGAGGGGAGGCTGTTAGATCAGAGAAATATGAAGGAAAGGGTTAAACATTGATCTGATCCACTCCAACTGTTTTTCATTTGTTTTTCTGTTTTAGGAGAAGCAATTACTTGCACCCTGTAAAAACCCTACTCCAATAGGTCACCTATATTTGTGAAAATCCTGAGGATTTTCCCTGTTTCTTTCAGCCTGTGTCAGCTTGCCTGGGTTCTTCCAGGTGGGCCTCTTCTAGTGCCATCTTTCAAGAATACTGTGTCACCTTTCCATCAGAATGGAAGTTTTGTGGGAGAAAAAATACACACACAAACAGAAAATTTCAGGAGAGTTGCAAGTGGAAGACAATATAGCTGACTGAAGACAATGGGAATTCTACCCAACACATCCACATCAGCTGTGTGGAACAGCTGCATTCTTAAGCACAGTGAGCATGCATGCACACATCTGGTTTAGATAACTACACCTGATCTAATAAAATCAAATGTACTTTTCTAAAAGTTCTGCACAGCTTGCAATCCACCAAGCTGACTAAAGCTCGCTTGGCATGTTTATAAAGTACCTGCAGTGGTGCAGAGGGGACTCTGGGCAAGATGGTTGCTGGGAACAACTAGTCATCTGGCAGAGGCTGAATTCTGACAGGATGTGATTCTGAAATGTGGGGTTTCTTGTATACAGGGGTCCAGCCCTAGACATGCCACTGGGCTGTTTGCCAACACCCTCACTTTGTAATCTCAGACAAACTCTCAAAAGCAAATGACTGAGCTTCTATTGCCATAGAAGACCGATAGATCACAAGTTACCAAGGCCTGTTTCAGGTTCCCAAGCCAGTCCAGAATAGTCTGTTGGGCAAGAGAAATTTACAGCAGAGCCCTGCCGTTCCCTGGGTGTATCTTCGCCCACCACCAAAAGGCATTCTCTCATGATCATTATCCGTGAGGAACACAACCCTCAGCAAGAAAAATGCTCCTCATAACACCCCTAACAGAGTCACATATGTGAGATGGTGGCTATACAAATTGAATCAATCAATCAATCCTAGAAAATGCCAGTGTTGGCTGTGCATTGCAGGAAGTAGATTAATGGTGGCCAAATGATCTGGTTTGCCATTCCTAAGGGTTGTTTTTTTTTTTGCATTTTTATTAGACATTAAGAAAGGTATATTTACAACCATAAAAAAAGGTGGGGTGGGGTAAAGTGGTTGGCCACTGTGAGAACATACTGCTGGACTAGATAGCCCAACGGTCTGATCCAGCAGGGCACTGCATATCTTCTTATGTTCTTAAAAAGTAAAATACAGAGGAATAAACAAGGAATTTTAAAATGCTGTAGAGGTTATAGTTTCCCAGTACATCATTATTTACTTGTAAATAACTGATCATATTAAATCACTATTAAGCTCTAAGTT